GTGTTCCTTGGCTGAAGCTGTTGAAGTGTGGAGGAAGACAAACTTTTTTTATTGAAATGCAATTAATGATAAAAACGCATGTTCAGCAAGTATTATGTGGTAGTCCTCATTATTTTCTAAAATATATGACCAGTTTCTGCATGTGCTGGTTCCACCCACAGCAGCAGAATCAACACCTGCACTTGACTATTTAGATTAATATGTTTATGATGAAAGTAGGTTTTCTGCCAACAATAGTTGAACTGCAAGCCAGCGGCCTCAATTTAAAAAAAAAAAAAAAAAGTCATGTTCGCCAATTGAGTATTGTAACAGCTATTCAGTAGTGATAATCTCAAGTATATACTCTGAGAAAAAGATATGATCATGAAAGTAGTGTCAATTAACTGCTAAGGGTTCTGCTGGCTTTGAATTAGTATTTTCATCATTTCACTGGGTGCACTTAAAGACTAGAAACTGCATTAGGACAACTTCAAAGTTGATTTTTGTTTTCAGCATTTTATTTCTGAATGACTTCAAGACCCCTCTGTGAATTTCAATAACTGGACACAATAGCAACAATTCTGACTTTTGCTCATGAACCATAATTGTTAAATGTTACATTACTGATGTTAACATATTTGCAAGATTGTACGTATAAAAAAAACCCACAATTTTGAAGTTTGTTAACATCTTGAAATACTAAGCTTTTCAATGTTAACAATGACGCAACTTTCATAGTGATGAAGATTTTATTCCACTTTGTATGAATATAAATTCTGAATAAAAACAGTATTAAGGCTCCATTCTGAAAGCACTTATGCTACTGAAATCAAACTAGTCATGCAGTGAAGTGCTTAAGTGTTTTATGATGGAATTGTCTTTTTTTGTTGTTTGCCTGAAGCAGTTGCATAAAATTCAAAGATATCCTATTGTAGTGACACTGAACAGTTTAAAACCAGAATTTATAAAACTTAATTCATAATCAATTTAACCTAAAATTGCAAGCCATACCATAAATTTTCAAATTAAGTTGGGGCTTTACAAAGCTAATGTAAATCAATGATTTTTAAAGTCCCTCCACCATTTCATTCTATTTTTATGAAAAATGTTCTGTAAATACAAAAGAGAACCCAACATCCAAAGTAGCCTGCAGAATTAAGTTTACATGTATCTCATAGAACACTAACCATCTAGCCATACTATAACAGTATCATACACAACCACTGGTGATCATTCATGATCTTGACTGGTAAATATTTGCCAACGTAATTCTTTTCATCCCAGGATAGTATGCATCTCAAACAAAGATCTACAGCACATGCACTTCCTACATTTTCCAGCTATTTTCCCAGTCTCCAGTCGTTTTTTATAAAATGTGCAATAAGTCTGAACACCACAAACTTTAGATTAAAAACAAGTCTTTCTACAGAAGCACTGCTAAACAAGAACTTCCCGGAAACAGTCTAAAAAAAAAATTTAACAAGGCTTATTGAGAGTTAATTGATGTTTATCATTTATAACTATTTGTTTAAGTGACACCTAATTTTTGGCCATTTTTAGTTTTAAGATCACCTATCTATAAGGCACTATTTAGGTAAAGAACAATGTGAACATCAGTAGTATTTAAAGGAAGATAAAGCTGTATCCTGACCCATTCTTGAGATCAATCCAGTTCCAGGACAGACCATAGTTTCATTTTACATGATTAACAAGCAGCAGGAAAAAAAAATAAGTTACTAAAAAATAAGCAAGCAAAATAGTCTTCACATTTTTATATAAACAGTTAATGGAACTATGAAAATATAGAAGTATTACTGAAATACTTTTGCTATAGCTATGAGAGAGGAATTTTAGCCACACTACCAACGATGCAAGTAGATCTAACTTCTCTGGTTATGGGGCAGCTCTATGTATTTTGCCACCCCAAGCACGGCAGTCAGGCGGCTTTCGGCAACACGCCTGCGGGAGGTCCGCTGGTAACGCGGATTCGGCGGCATGCCTGCGGGAGGTCCACCAGTCCCGCGCCTTCGGCGTACCCGCCGCCGAACTGCCGCCGAAGCCGCAGGACCAGCGGACCTCCCGCAGGCATGCCGCCGAAGGCAACCTGACTGCTGCCCTCACGGTAACCAGCAGGTCGCCCCCACGGCTTGCCGCCCCAGGCACGTGCTTGGTGCGCTGGTGCCTGGAGCCGCCCCTGCTCTGGTTATATTTTAAGTAGAATTCACTAGTCAATCACAATGCAATGCATATTCAATAGGCAAATTCTGGTTCTCATGTCTAACTGAAGTTAGAAGAGTTTTCCCTCTTTCACACAATACAGTCAGTAGGGACATGGTCAGCTTCCTTTTCTTCTCATACTACCAACTCTCCTTCCCAAAACATGGACCAGCCTTCTTAATAGGAAGTTCTGTTTCTGAACAGACTGTTTACACTCAAGGAACATTCTATAATCTAGGCAACAATTTGGGGGAGGGGGGGGAAATCAGTCAGAGTGGGAGAAGCACTGCAGGCAGGAAGAAAATAATAGCCACACAATTTCATATTAGCAGAAATCATACGGTCAGGTATCGGGGGTAGCCGTGTTAGTCTGTATCTATAAAAACAACAAGGAGTCTGGTGGCACCTTAAAGACTAACAGATGTATTTGGGCATAAGCTTTCGTGGGTAAAAACCTCACTTCTTCAGATGCATCTGGTCAGGGACGGTCTAGAATGATAATACTTAGTCCTGCCATGAGTGCAGGGGACTGGACAAGATGACCTCTTGAGGTCCCCTCCAGTCCTATGACTATGATTTATTTATTCATGGAATCGGGTGCTTTAGATGCAATCAACTATATTTTTGAGGGGGTGGGGAGTTGTAGAACAATTTTGCATTTAAACTTTCTTCTAACTGGCTACTTCAAATTATCTAGTTCACAATATATAAACAGCTGTGTCAACACATTTTTAGTCTGAATCAAATAAACCACAGTTCTGAATTTTTTTTCAAGTAACATTTAAGATTAAAACCAGTCGTTTAAGAAATTCTCTATACAGAATGTACCATCAAATACACGGTATAGTCAGTTCCACTGTTTCTATCACTGTAAACAGTTTTCAGAGTGGTAGCGGTGTTAGTCTGTATCAGCAAAAAGCACAGAAGTACTTGTGGCACCCACAAATTTATTTGGGCATAAGCTTTCGTGGGCTAAAACGCACTTCATCAGGTGCATGCAGTGGAAAATTCATGGTGGGTGGGTGGGTGTCTTCCTACTGTATTTGCTACAACTTATTTGTTTGAGTCTTTCACACCAAGAGAGAAAACATTTGTTTTTCTACACTGCAAAATGACAAAATCTGAAGAGCCAGTGTAGTAAGCGGCATCAGTTTATACTCTGAAGTGCACCAGAATTCAGGTTACTGCCCTTTCAAAAAAAAAAAAAAAAAAAGCCCCGTCAAAACAACCCACTGTCCAAAGTCTTCCTTCCAATCAGGCACGTTTAAACCCGAATCAGCGCCTCAATCCCATTTACGGGACACGGCTGCTGCCGCATTTGCTGTGCAATCTCAAAGAGGACCTTCCGCCAGCGGCTGTTTGCCGGACAGTACAGTGCCAGCAGGCCGGGGCGAGCTGTATACACACTCGGTTACAGCGGACAGGGGTTAACGCCGAGCCGCCTCCTGCTGCTGCACCAGCGCCGCCGCTCCCTTCCCAGTGACCTGTCCCCGCCCGGCCCTCCGCAGAGACCGACCCGCCCGCCCAATCCCCAGGACCCGCACGTGTCGGCGATGGGCCCAGCCACCCTGGCAAGTCGGGGGCGGCCGGGCCTGAGCGCCATGAGGAGCCGGGCCCGATCTACCCGCACCCACCCCGCGGGGGCGGCGGCGGCAGCCCGGCCTAACGGCGCGGAGAGACGCGGCTGCCCCACGCCCCGCCGGCGATCTCGGGGGCAGCCTGGTCCGGGCTGGCGGGACCCACGAAGGAGCCGGGGCGGGTCGAGCCCGTGAGGGTGGGGTGCGTGACCGCCTCACTCACCGCAAGCCGCGGGGCCAGGCCGGGCCGCTGCCTCCACTCAAGAGCCACCGCTTCCTCCTCCGGCTAGATGACAAAATGGCGGCGGCAGGAAGTACCATCAGCTCCGCCGCCCCGCCCCAGGGCCCCTGCTCCCGTACACTGCGCAATCCGCGTACGGAGCGACCCGTCCCCCACCGGGGCGCAACGGCCCCAGTGCAAGCGGCGCAACGGCCCCTCACACGCAGACACCCCTATGCAGGCCGCGTACCAAAAAGCTTCCCCCCACTCACCAGAGCACAAACGCTCCTACGCAAACAGCGCGCCTCCTAAAAAAATACATCAGGCTACTCCGGTCGCTACGCAAATAGCGCTAAAGTCCTATTCGCCTACCTCTCCAGGGAACAGCCGTCCTCAACGAAGAATCGCACCCAACGTACGTAAACCGCGGTCCGCGCGCGGGGGAAAGCCCTATCTACGCAAATCGCGTAGCCCACAGACGGGGCCAAATATCTCTCCCACGCAAACTCTGCACCCTATGCCCTGCGTTCGCTTTCCACCGCAATCGGCGCACCAGAGCCAGAGACGTCCCCTACGTAAATCACGTAGTATGCTGCAGGTTACCCAGCCGCCAAATGCGCAAAATGCGTAAACAGCAGAAAAAGCCGATCCCCTTACCCGTTCTCATACACCACCCACGCAGACCGCTGGCTGCAGAATGAGGGCTAGAGGAACGGCACAACAGCGGCCTGGTAGGCCTCTCCTGCTACGCACACAACGTAGCGCCCCTCTCTAAGAGGAAAGCGGGTGGGAATACACCGTTTGAGCCGCAGGCCTCAGCCTGAGACAGACGTCCCAGCGAAGATTGCGTAGTCTCCCTGACGCAGCGGCCGCATTACGCAATGCGGGTTACGCTAGCAGGACAACGTAACCAAGGATGGTGAATACCGACACCCCCACCTCCGCTCGACCGCGCCCCCCAGTCGAGAGAGCCGCTTCCCTCGCGCGCGCGCGAACTCCGCTCTCACCTGAGGGACAGGCCGCGCGCTCTCCACCCTCCCGCCGGACCGGGCGCCGTGGGGCCCGGAGGGGGGGAGGCGTCTCCTCCGCGTCGCACCGGGGGGGCTGGGTCGGGGGCCTCCGCGGGGCAGATAAAGACCGAGGGGCAGCGGGAGGGACCGATAGCGGCTCCGCACTGACCTCACCGCGCAACGCTCTGCGTCGCGGCGCAACAGACCACGCAACCGACGCATCCCGCGCAGGCTACGTGCGTTCCCCCCCCCCACTTCCTAAGCCCCGCCCTCTCCCTTTCCTAAGCCCCGCCCCTCGAGCGCCAGGCCTGAGGAGGAGCCGGGAGCGGAGACGGCGCGTGGGGGAGAGGTCGGGTCGTTCTGCGCCCGGCAGGCGCTGCAAGGGGGGCGGGGCACTGCATTACACTGCACTGCACTGCATTGCACTGGGGGGGAGGAGGCGGGAGCGCCGCGGCCGGCGGGTATTGCGCGGGGGAAGGTGAAGGAAGGACGCTCTGGGGTCCCCAGCTAGTTGGGGACTGCACGGCAGCCCCGCTGCGGGGGGGAGCTGTGCAGTGGTGGGGGCATTGCACGGTGCGGGGGAAGGGGCAGCCCTGCAGCAGGCGGGGACTGCACGGAGGAGGGAGCCTCTCTAGCCCGCTGGTCACTGCAAGGAGGGGAAAGGCGGCTCTCTGCAGGGGGGAGGCGGTTTCTGCAAGTCGATGGGCGTTGTGCGGGTAGGGGGCAGGTCCCGACAGCAAGGTGTACGCTGCACGAAGCGATGAGGGGAGATGGCTCCTGTGAAGAGCGCATCATCCGCTGCATGGGGAGAAGAGCCTCTCCTGAAAACTGTTGGCTGAATCATTTGCTCTGGAGCATTGTTAGTCCTGCCACTTCCTGGTCTGCCCCAGTGTCTGTGGACTCTGAAGTCTGGTACTGCACATGTCCATGTTAACTGTTCTACTGCTGATCATTTTAGCAGAAAGATCCGTCTCATCTGGCACGGTGGGTGTGACCCCCTACAAGTATCATGTAATGCCCCTTCATTGATTTGTATGTAGCACTCTCCGGATTGCTGCAGCCACTAGTAGCCAGCGCTTACTCACACCTCTCAGGGTATGTCTACACCAGAGCAGGACAATGTAGTTTCCAGCTCAAGGAGACCTATTTGCACTAGCGCTGACTGAGCAGTGTAGACCTGGTGGCAATAGGGGCTAGGTGTCCTGAGGATGTACCTACAATTTCAGTCAGGATTGTACTTGAGGAAGCTAGCTTCTTGTGCTGCCAGGTGTAGGCATACTGTCAGTCAGAGCCCTGGGCTGAGCATGGGGGGGCACCTCACTTCCCCATCAGGAGCCCAGCCGTCACTGTCACTCAGGCAGACTGTGCTGCCCAGATGCAAAGGGGGAGAGCACCCACTCCTGGTGTTGCCAATTTTGGTTGGATGTGTTCCTGGAGGCTTCATCACATGACAAAATCTTTAATTAACTATTAATCTTTAATTCCTTGAGACTCCATGACAATCCTGGAGGGTTAGCAACCTTACCCACTCCTGTTTCTCATGCCCAGGCACAGCATGCCCTCTGCTGGCCAATGTGGAGATGGCCATTGCCCCATCTGCTGCCTAGAGCAGGCCTGCAGGTGTGTTGAGATCTACATTGAGGGCACAACGTGAGCTCCCTTTCCTCCTCCCCATTATACATCCACTCTCAAGCTGGCTACAATCTGGTCCCTAACATCTTGGCTCCAATAACTGATTTGAAGGACTCCAGCTGTTTGGTCTGACTCCCTAAAATGATCCATGATCTTTCACAGGATCAGCTATGCCCCTGATTTTCAAGTGCAAATATAGTCATGCCACTGGGAAGGTCGGTCCTGCTTGGGCTCAAGTTCTGTGCCTGTGTTCAGGAGGAAGAAATGGAGACACTGATATGTGTTTGCCAGTCTGAGCAGGAGACCTTTAATATGTGGCCTCTTCTAGCTATCCACAGCTGTGGCATTAGCTATTGGCTGTCTGCTGGCCATGTGCGGTGGGGGCAGGGAGAGAAGTGCGAAATCTCTACCATAGCATTAACTGTGGCTCACAGATCCCAAGCAGGAGGCAGAGGAGGGGTTAAACTCCAAAAGGAGCTGCAGGCAATGGGGAAATTCACCCCTAGAGCTCCCTGGGTAACCTCAGTTCTGGCATTTTCAGACTTCTGAATGGTTGACTTCCCTGCATTATCATTCTTGTAATAGGCTTTTGATTACTTTATTGTCTGTATAACTATGGGACTCCAATCTTAAATTAAGGTTTCAGAGTAGCAGCCGTGTTAGTCTGTATCCGCAAAAAGAACAGGAGTACCTGTGGCACCTTAGAAACTAACAAATTTATTTGAGCATAAGCTTTCGTGGGCTACAGCCCACTTCATCGGATGCATAGAATGGTTCCGTTCTAAGGTGCCACACGTACTCCCAATCTTAAATTAACACTCAGCAGAGGACTGGATGCCTAAAGGGAGAGACTTTCTCCAGAAGATCACCAGTCTGAGTCCTTCCTAGTTCAGTAGGGCCTAAAAAATTTTTCCATTTGCACATGTCAGCTAGAGGGACCCAGAAATTCCCAGAACAAGGTTAGGTAATTATCTGACATGCTTAGTATCTGTTTCTGAGGCTGTGTAGGAAGTTTTCATTATTGGCTACCCACCCGGGAGGCCATACCCTACGCACCCTCTGAGAGCTGAGCCAACCAGAGATAGGATGGCCAAGCATCTGGTTTTCAACTGGAATGCACGGTCGAAAAGGTACCCTGGCAGCTCTGGTCAGCACTGCTGACTAGGCTGCTAAAAGTTCGGTTGGCCACAGCGGAGGGCTCCCAGAAGCGCCTGGCATGTCCCTCTGGTTCCTAGGTGCAGGGGTGGCCAGGGGGGTCTCCGCATGCTGCCCCTGCCAGTGGAGCAGGTGCTACCCAAGAACCAGCTCTGCAGCTCCCATTGGCAGGGAACCACGGCCAGTGGGAGCTGCAGGGGTGGCGCCTGCGGAGCCCCCTGGCTGCCCCTGCGCCTAGGAGCCGAAGAGACATGATGCCGCTTCCTGGGAGCCTCCTGAAGTCTGCACGGCGCCGCTGCCCAGAACCTGCACCCCATCTACTGGTACCTGAACTCCCTATTTACATATATACATATAGCGAGCACTTTTGTAACAGGCGAGCTCTGGGGGGTGGAGGTCTCCCAAACCAAGAAGCAGAGGACAAGGGGCTTCCCCCTTACTTCAGGGCTCCATCTTGTTGACAAATAAAGGGGTTCTGAAGTTAATGATGAAAATTGTGGAAACACCCCATGGGTCACCCACCGGTCTCAAACTCAAGCCCATAGGAGCAGCCACACTCCAAGCCTCCACCTAGCAGCCTGCTGACAATGGCTTACCTGGGACCCATGAAGCCCAGCCCCCATGTGAGGCTCCATCTTTGAGGTCTGATTGGCGGAGCCCCAGAGCAGCTGAATGGCCGACTGGCCCTGCTTAAGCCAGCAGCAGGAACACGAAGCTGTCTGAACAACCGGGCTTCACCCTGCTCTGGACTGTGCACCTTGTGCTTCCCACCCATGCTGCTTGATATCCTAGCTTGACTCCTGGCATCTGACTTGAGGTTCCTGGCCTCCAGCTTGTTTCCTGTCTCTGACCCCCCAGTAGCTTGACCTGGCCTGACTCTGGTTCCCGACTTGTGGTTCTGATCTCCAGTTTGTCTCCTGCTACTGACCTCCCGAAATCCTGACCCAGTTGGCTCTTGACTCCTGTCTCCTGACTGCAGACTTTGACTCTGACTACAAGGTCTGACTGCCCATGACCAAGCCATGACACCCTGACAGTGGGATTGGTAGTTGGCTCAAACCAGAGACAATTTTAAAAGGCAGGATAATCCAGTGTCTCAGGAATTGCTGTTTGAAAACTAGATGCAACAAAGCTGATGGAGAAGCACCCGTGGTGCTGGGGATATTTCTACCATTGGCCTGTAAACCACACACGGGATATTTCAAAGTGAAAAGAGGCTCTAGGATCTGGCGCAATGACTTCTCCTGCTGTGTTCGCCATCCAAACACCCTTTGGTCCAGGGGAATGTGCGTGGGCCTGTTTTCCAGGTGGGGAAACCAAAGGACGGGGAATGTAAGTGACTTGGAAAAGGTTATAGAGGAAATATGGGGCAGAACTGGGAGCAGAGATCTGCTCTCCATTCACTGTCCAAAACTTTGGTTAACAAGGAGTTATGGTTGGCTGGCAGTGCCTTGTACCCATCTAGAATGTTGAGTGCAACTAGATTTAAATCTCTGAAAACCAGAAAATAAAGAGGTAAGGTGCATAGCAGCCCTCACCCAACCTTAACTCTGCTCCTGGAGCTTGCAAAAGCCACTGAGGCTATACTGTAAGTATGGTTCAGCCAGGACTGCCCTGTAATGAGCAGACATGAGGAATGTCTAAGGGCTTGTCTTCACTGCAGAGTTAATGCAAGCTAAATTCAAGTATTGCCTGTTGTGATTATTGGACCTACAAACTTACCATGAGCTCAACTGTAAAAAGTATGTGAAAGTTCATAAAAGTTACAATACCCATGAACAATTAGGTCAAGTTGTTTACAATGACGAATATTATAATAGGTGCAAGAAAACCCAACAGAGAAACTGTAGTAGTCCAAACAACCAGGGCTTACTGATATAATTCAAGGACTATACCAGATCATACTTAGTAAACAAGAAGATATGGAAACAAAGGTACCTATGCCAAGTTTGGCCTTACAGAAATGCCTTTAAATGATGGACAAATTAATGAGGATAAACTCTGCCACCTACTTTTACTCCTTTTTGGGGTTCCTAAAATGAGACTTTGGGGAAAAAATAGTTTTCTTCCCTCAGCTCATCCCCCAATCTCCCAGCATTGCAACTCATCTTGACTCATCTCAGCTTCCTCAAGCTTAAGTCAGACAGAGCAGACCAGGCTAAGGACTTCCTGGGGGGCGGAGGGAGGAAGCCGGCTGGCCTTGCTCTTGTTGAAGGAACTTTGTTTTCACCTGTGAGTGCTGAAAGTCACCACACAATCACGACATCCCCTCCTCAACCCATCCGTGGGACTGTCTACCAGCCCTGCAAAGGCATGTAAGATCCTGTATTATTTTCCCTTCCCTTGTTGTGTTGATTTCTTTCCTCCCTCTTTTGTCCTATCCCCTCTCTCATTC